TACTTTCATCTGGTTGGGGGCGCTGATAATCTTATGGGGACTTAAAGAAAATTTAGAGTTATGATCCAGTCCTGACTGAAGTATCCTGAGTCTTGATCATCTCAGGCAGCAGTCTTGAACTGGTTCTGGATGAAGAACTCAGACATTTGGGCCATCTATTCCTGCTGGAGATTTCTCAGGTGGTCTTCCTTGATCAAAGCTGATTTTTCTTAACTCTGAACAAATCCACAGCCTCTCATTTTCTATGGAAACAAAAGCAAAATCTTTTCTCCAAAGTAACATACCTTTTGACTTCAATTTTGAAGTCAAGCTATTTTCAAAATACCTATCTTGGATTAATTCTGCAGCATTTATAAGCAAATATCTTTTAGTAGCTATTGCTCCTTCCTCAGCATTCAAACAATTTAAAGAGAGCATAATAGCATACAGTATCAAGATTCTCTGTGTATTTTACATCTTTATGTGGCTTTATTTTAATCTCTATTTCTTTTATTTTTACTTTTAACTTTTGGCTTTTTGAGACAGGTTCTCTGTGTGTCTTTGTCCTAGAACTCTCTCTCTGTAAACCAGGCTATCCTTGAACTTACAGAGATCTGTCTGTCTCTGCCTCCCAGGCAAATCCTACTGACCTGCACCCTGCACCACCAAAACCAGCTACTCTCTTTCTTTTCTTTTCTTTTTTTTTTACTTTGAGAACTTTAACCTTTAACCTGTATATATTTTTAATACACTGTATAAACCACTTAGAGGTTTTCTTCCTGTTTGAATCTCTCTTTACTGTATATCTCTCTTTTTCTGACCACATGTGTCTTTAATTTGCTAAGGAATATGGAGAGGATTAAAGCAGTGGCTTTGACTACTAGATCCAGCCCATTCCTTAGCTTTATGAAATTCCACCCTCATGGTGGAGGAAGCAGCTGTAGCCGTTTTTTTGCCACAATTCTATGGTGTTTCAAGGTCCTTTCCAGAAAGCAAGCTGCAACATTGTGTCCATAAACAATACTCAAAAGCTCCTATGGCGGTTCAAGGTCCTTGCCAGGAAGCAAGCTGCAACAGTGTATCCATAACTCCATAGTCAGGACAGCCTGCTTGAAAGAGTCAGAGTTTTCCCTGGAAGGACTGCCCAGAAAGCTGGCATTTTAAAACAGCACAGCTTTTTTCCTGATATGGCTGAAAACCAAAAGCTTTACTCTACTCTTTACCAAGCTTTCTCAGGCTTTCTTTGGATACAGTTATCCACGTGGGCGCCATTTGTAACATGAGCTGGGCCTGCTTGTTGGGGTTTCTGTCCTGCCCAGTACCCCACAGCCAGAAAGCCCCAAAGAAAATCACACAGAGATCTCTATGAGTTATAAACGCTGTTTGGCCCATTAGCTCAGGATACCTATTAGCTCTTGTAGTTTATATTAACCCATTATTCTGATCTATTTTAGCCATATGGCTCAGTACCTTTTTCAGCTGACAGGTCACATCCTGCTTCCTCAGTAGTCTGCACAGGACTGGGGGGAATCAACTTCCTCCTTCCCAGAATTCTCCTGTTCTCATTGTATCATTTCTACTTCTGTCTGGTTTTTCCACCTATACTTCCTGCCTGGCCAATCAGCGTTTATTTGAAATATGATTGACAGAATACAGTTCTCACTCACCAGCCAGAAAGTAGACGGGTTAACTTAAGATGGCAAGAAACAGGCCAAGCTAAGAAAGAATAAGTATCCACGTGTGATTTATTTGGGAGCTGGGTTGCATGCCCTCCAAAAGAACTAAGAGTAAAAGAAAAGAATAAAAAGCAGACATTTTTGGCTCCCAGCATGGGGCCAGAGTAGAAGAAAATCCAACACTAGCTAGTGAGCCTGCTCCAGAAATCACCATCTCTGCCTACCTTACACTGGATCGCAGGTGGACCGTCATGCCTGCCCAGCATTTACATGGGTTCTGGGGACATGAACTGAGTCCTCATTTTATCACAGCCTATGTCCCAAGCCACACATCTTCAGCAAGGCAATAATGGAAAACAGAAAAAAATAAAGGAGATTCTTCAATGTGGCCATCTTGGGAAAAGAGGGTAAAGAGACCCAATGAAGCCCCCACATTTGTCTTCAGGGTTTTTCACTAAGACTGTGAGGTTTGAATGGAGAGCTAAAATTATGGCCATCTGAGCAGTGCCCTCCAGGACGCCAGTGCAGTCCTGCCCAGCACTAACCCATCACTGTGGGCTTCACTCTCCTGCTGTGAGGTCCTCTGCTAAGTTGTTACAACTGTGAAACCTCTTGCCAGGAGACAGGTTCCTGTCTGCCCCACTCTTTTTTTTTTTTTTCTCCCAGCATGGGATTTCTGGGGGGAATTCCCATTTCTTTGGCATCCATTGTTTCTCCAGTCTAGTAGTCAGGATGAGAGACACAAAATCTTGCATTCCTGCCAGGCCTGTTTCTCTGGCTTGTACAGACAACACCTACTCCTGTCTCTAACATTTCAGCTCACAATGCCAGGAGTATACTCCCGCCCTTGGGAGTTCAGGGCTGCTGCAATGGGATGGATGGATTTGGGGCTAATAGATACATATGTGGAGGTTCCGGTCTGGCTCCCACCCACAGGGTTCTGATCTTGGCTAGAGAAGCACCACCCAATCCTGCAGACCCAGTCCCTGAGTGGTATCTGCTTGGAGCAGGAAGAGTGTGAAGTCTCAAAGAAACACAGGGAGTTCCCTTCATGCACCTAGGAAGGAATGCTTAAGCTAGACAGAGGGATACAAATGCCACATTCTAGCAAATTCTCCCCACCTGCAGCCCTGGTTGCACCAACATGACTGGCTAAAGATCTGAGCAAGTACAACAACTAATGCGGAACGAGGAAGGTTCCACCCCTGAACAAAGAGCTGCAGGCCACTAAGGAATGCGGATGGTGGGAGAAAGGGTCTCAAGGGATGAACCCCCCATTTAATTACCCAGAACCAAAGGTCAGCCTCAGGACCATATACATTCAAGTCACACTAAATGGACTAGGCAGGCTGTACTTGTGCATTTATACATATAACAGTATCATTATTGTTACATTTATGTGCATCTATAACAATTAAAAAGAGGACATAAATTTGAGAAAAGACAATAAGGGGCATGGAAGGGCTGGAAGAAGAAAGGAGAAGAGGGGAAATCGTGTGATTATATTTTAACTGAAAAAAGCTGGCAAACCTCATGGTGTAATGCTAAAGCTAATTAGTGCAGATGCATGACTTTCCACGACCCACATTAATCTATTGTGAGCAATCAGGCAATAAGAAGGAGTGCACTGTACACATCTGAAATAAAAGACTCATCCTTGCCAAGGGGAAGTCAACATCCTTAGGGAATTGAGGTTTTATTTCTAGACCAGGCTGGCCTCGAACTCACAGAAGTCTGTCTGCCTCTGCCTCCGGAGTGCTGCCATTAAAAGCACTACTGCCCCAACTGAGGTTTCAAAATAGAGGGACGGTGATACCAAGGCTACAGCCTGCCACGCAAGCGGAGGTGGAGAGCTGCAGACATCGAGGGCAGACTGTAACTCAGATTAGACACTGACTGGGAACGCATGCCTGGCATTTAATATTCCTTGTGCAACCTGAAGACTAGAAAGACTGTTCTGGTTTTTGTTCTTGTTTTTTTTTAAAACAAGAACAAAAATCCAACTTCTGTACTGAGCCAGTTGATGTGCCAGTTTTCTTTGAACTCTCCTTCATGAGTTAGCCAGCTTCCTTTGAGATGCAGGTAGAAACCGGAAGTGTGTGAAACAATAAGGATACATTGTTTCATAAACAAGAAAGCTCCAGCGTTAACTAGTTTAGAGTCTTCCGGATTTTGTTGTAACAGGCTTTCTTGGACTGCCAGCCCCCAAATTATAACATAACATGGAGATTTAATATTAGTTATGAATGTTCAGCCTTATGCTTGTCCCACTAGCTCTTATATCTTAATTTAATCTGTTTCTCTTCATTTTTGTTTTGTCTCTGGGCCTTTTACTTTTCTTTCCTTCTGTGTGTCCTACTCTGTGTCTGGCTGCCTGGCTAACCCTACTCATCTCCCTCACTTTCTCCCTCATTCTTTCCTTGTCTCTCCTCTCTTATTTTGTCTGCCACCCCCACCCAGCCCTAGCTATTGGCCATTCAGCTTTTTTTTTTTTTTTTTTTTGCCAATCAGGTGCTACTTAGTCAGGCAAGGTAAACAGCAACACATCTTTACATAGTTAAACAAATGTAACACATCTTTTCTTAGTTAAAGGTTTTTTTTTTTTTTTTTCTTCTTGAGACAGGGTTTCTCTATGTAGCCTTAGCTGTTCTTGGCTGTCCTAGAATTTGCTGCCTTAAACTCACAGAGATCTGCCTGCCTCTGTCTCCCAAGTGCTGGGATTAAAGGCGTGCACCACCACCGCCCAGCTTCTAGTTAGTTTTGTTCCACAATATTTTGTAGGGATTTTTAAATAATCATTTTCATTTATGTGTCCCTGGAGCCGGAAGAAGGCATAAGGTCCTCTGAATCTAGAGTTACAGAATGTTCTGAGCTACTTGACACAGGTGCTGGGAAGGAACTTGGATGCCCAGCAAGAGCAGGAAACATCAGTATCTGCTAAGCCATCTCTCAAACCTGTGAGCATTCTTGTTGGCTCAGCCCTCATGTTTGAAAGCCGGCTGTAGATGAATCTTCTAACATCAATATCTAAAGGATGGAGGGATGGTATAAAGTTCTGCTTTCTCAGAAGCCCCTTGGAAGCTTGACGTGTCTAGAACCATGTCAAGGCCATCTCCTAATCGAATCACTGATAAAGATGGTGACATTATGATTCTAGGCTGCTTTAGAATGACCAAAGGTCTTGCTTGGGCTAATCCAGAGGAGGCCCCTACCTCTCTAAATGACATCTTCCCTAGATATCTTTGACAAAATTGGGGTGTTGAGAGTAAGGAAGCATGGGCAAGGGTCAGCCATTGGCAGTGGCTGTTAGGAGAAGTTGTCTACTTCTGTTGTTTCTCCGTTTAGGTTCTGCCAACATCAATGACCGGAGCATGCTGGGGAAGCGAGACAGTGAGATGGCTGTCATAGTGGAGGACACAGAGACGGTCCCCTCAGTCATGGATGGGAAAGAATACCAAGCTGGCTGCTTCGCCCGGGGACTTCGGTTGCAGTGCTTCAGGTGACCTCACAGAGCCACGCTTCTGCTATTGGTCCCACAGCCACAGTGGGGCTCAGGGTGACCTCTCCCTTGGCACTTCTGCCATGCCAGATTCTTTTTATCTAGAACAATGTGTCTCAGAGTGGAGGATATACACAGTAGTACAGCAATGATTCTAAATATACACACGTTTAATAGCCAGTCTTTATGCATAATAGCACAAACTACCATTTAAAATGTAATCAATTGAAGGTCAGGCCAGATCAAATCATCTAGGTATGATTTGTTTAAGTTTTTAAAAGTAGCTTCACATTTTTTTTTGTTTGTTTTTGTTTTTTCAAGACAGGGTTTCTCTGTGAAACAGTTCTGGTTGTCCTGGAACTCACTCTGTAGACCAGGCTGGCCTCAAACTCACAGAGATCACCTGCCTCTGCCTCCAAAGTACTGGGACTAAAGGTGTGTATCACCACCGCCTGGAACTTCACTTTTAAAAACCTAAATAAACAGGTCCTTCTGCAGGTAAAGGCACTCCCCACCTAACCTGAAGACCTGAGTTCAATCCCCTCAGCTCACAAGGAGAAAAGAGAATCTTCAATTTGTCATTCACACATGTGGACCACATGGCAAAATAGAGACCCAGCTTCCACCAATTGTCCACTGACCTCCACCACAGGCACTGTGGCATCAACATCTCCAGGCACACAGAATGGATCGCAAGGATAGCATAAGCTTGCTAAGAGTAGGCTAGTGGTTGCTGGCATCAGATGTAAGTGCAAACACTACATTTCCACAGTCTAAAGAGATTCCAGACAGGAGAGATTTCTGCCCTTCCTCAAGACAGACAGGCCACTGAGGGCTATGACACAGAGACTGTGTGACCCTACGGGAGTCAGTGCTGATGTTGGTGTTGGCTCAGGTTAACTGCCCCAGCCCCTTTAGTCTGTTATCAACAGCGATCCTCCTGAGCCTTCTAGATCACATCCCCTCTTTGCTCCCCACCATCTAGCTTTTTACCACACAACTAATCCAGGAGCAGGCGAAACTTTCCCAGGTCCGCACAGTCTGTCAACACCTTGACCACTCTCCCAGCTATAGACCCTGTTAGGAGGTTCTTATGATTCCAGAGCTGCCCTTGCCGTGATGTCATTTCATTTGTGACTATGGGGGTCTCTGTGACCCCCAAGGCCAGCAGAGTGCCAGTCTGCATGAGGCAAGAAGGAAAACGGGCTCAACATGCCTTAGTTAGCCAGATTCAAACTACCCTGATCCTGAGGAGTTTATTTTAGGCATATTTAAGTATGGTGCAAGTTTGAAAAAAGTCTCCTTGTGTAACACAATCCCTTGTGCACAAGGAGGCGTGATTACCCCAAAGCAACTCTTTGCAAAGTGTGTGCCTTCTTCCATGAAGATGGGTTCTACAGAGAGGCTACATGTTTTATCTTAAGGGCTAGAGAAGGATCCGGAGTGGTCTAGGTCATACAGATAGCGTAGAAGTCATCTGGGCTGTTTAGCCACCTCTTGTCCTGGGTGTGGGAGTCTGGGAGAGCCCCTGGCAGTACAGATCATGCAAAGGTCATCTAGACTATTAGCCACCTCCAATCCTGCCTGTGGGATCTTGGTATGGCCTCACCCAACAGATACCATAAATCACTAGGTTATTAACTACCTTTGTCCCCAGGCTTCTGGGTGGAAAACCAAGTTCTACATCTCTTCCACTGAAAAGACAGTCCTGCCTTTTGACATTCCAGTTTCCTTAGTGCTTGTCTGTGGGAGGGAGCAAGGACCTTCAAGCTCCCAGTAGTGGCCTCTGTGGTGAGACATACCAGGTGCTCCTGATGTACTCAAGGCTGTGCTTCGGGGGAGGGACATACTGTGACTTCCCGGGGGAGGCACAGCTTTCATTTTTCATGTGTTAACGGTCCATTTGGAAACTGAGTCACACACAGAAAAATCCATTCTTTGCTTTCAGTTCAAAGAACTCAGCAGAGGCCTGCCTCAAGATACGTCAATATCTTTCCACCGCTTTTACTGTGGGTTTGTCACCTTTATTACTAATTGCTTGACCCAGTGAGAATTCTTTCAAACCTCTGGTATTACAGAAAAGTGTTATGAATTCTTTTTGTTTAGCAGGGGGAAATTTAAAATTAGTGCCCTGGTAATCACCCCACTGACTTCCTACTACAACATATACAAGGAAATAATTATTTTACTTTTTAAGCTGAAAATGTATGTCCTGTCCTTTCTGTTGTAGGTGAACCAAAGTATTCTCTTTAAAGTGACAGGCTTCTTTATGTTTTTAGGCATATACTAATCATAGAAAGACAGGATTCTGCTTTACAACCCATTTTTTCCCTTGTAGAAATTTAGCAAATATAAAAAACCAATAAGAAGGTAAATTCATTTGTAATTCCACCATCCAGTGCCACCATTTTTTTTAAACTTTATTTTTAAATTGATGCATAAATTGCAAAGATTTGTGGAGTGCTGTGTGATGTTTTTGTATACGTGTTCATTGAGTAATATCTAGATCCATGTGAGGATCACTTAGATGTTTTACTGCATGTTTAGGAGGTGCCGTGGTGCACACATGGAGATCAGAGGACAGCTTCGGGCAGTTGGTTCTCTCCACCTGCCTTGCTGAGGCAGGGATCTCTATTGTTGAGCCTTGGTGAATGCTCCAGACCAGCTGGCCTGTGAGCTTCTGGGAGACTCCCCATGTCACTGTCAAATGCTGGGATTAAAGACGTGTATGCCTGCCTCAGGCTTTCTCAGTGGGTCTTAGAAATCCAGTTCAGGTCCACAGGCTTGCATGGAAAGTCCTTTTCTGATGAACCGTCTCTCCAGCCTGCACATATGTATCTACTCAAGCCTTGGACCTTTCTTTCTGAGGAGACCATTCAAAACCATTTCTCCTAGCTTCTGGGAACTGTATAGTCTACCACCATCCAAAGTGTCTCATGAACCACACCAGAACTTGTTACTCAGTCTACAATGACTTAGTTCCCATTGACCTACCAGGTTTCCGGCCCCTTCCTTGTTGCCCCAGCACTGGTAACCATCATTCTACTCTCTAACATCTATGAGGTCTCTCCCATGTTCCATCTACAAGGTCAAACCATCTCTGGATTTCAACACCTGGCTTATTCCTTGATGATTACTAGCTCCATCCATGTTGTCATAAATGATAGAATTTTTTATATGTGATTGAATAGCATTAATATGTATGGACGAGTCGCATTTCCTTTAGTCCCTCATCAATTGATGGGCACTGAGTTTGTTTCTGCGTAACACCATGGGGGTGCAGCTGTCCCTGACATACTGGAATAATCTCTCTGGAGATAACAGGGCTCTCCATTTAATCATCTGATGAACCCCAGGATGGGCTCTCATCCCTAGCAATGTAGTCAGGGTTTGCTATCCACAGCTCACAGTGTGCTAACAATTTTAAAAGTTGGCATCTAGCATTTTACTTCTCCCCAACACATGTTTGAATATATATTGCATCTATGTTTTGACAAAAAAACCCAAAATTTGAATCATGCAGGTCCTGAATATTCTTAACTTCTAAAGATTTGTGTGTACATACATACGTGCATGCACATGAATGTGAAAGCCAGAGCATAACTTGCACGAGTTTCACGTTGAGGGTCCTGAAGATCAAATTCAGGTCTTCTGACTTGGAGGCAGTCAACTTTGCCGGCTGAGTCATTAGGCCAGCCCCTGAATATTCTCTTTTCTTTTCTTGTTTTTCCTTTCTTTTTTTCCTTTCTTTCGTCTTTTTTTCTCCTTTTTGTTTTTTGATTTTTTTTTTTTTTTGAAACAAGGTTTCTCTGTGTAACAGCCCTGGTTGTCCTGGAACTCACTCTGTAGACCAGGCTGGCTTTGAACTCACAGAGATCCACCTGCCTCTGCCTCTGCCTCTGCCTCTGCCTCCCCAGTGCTGGGATTCATGCCTGGCCCCTGAATAGTTTTTCTTATTTAAATGCTGCAGTGCTTTTCCATGTCAATGTTGTTCTATAGCATTTTAATGATTGCATCATACTTCATGTGTGTCTGCCGTAGTTCCTTAAAAACATGCTTCTGTGTTTGACACAGCTTTCTTGCTGATGTAAAAATGGTAGGTATTTTTGTTTGCTTATTTCTTATGTGAGCAAGAACAGTGACAATTCTTCTCAGTCAAAGGGAGCTGCATCTGCCCCCAGATTTCTTCTTAGGTCGCTAACAATTTAACGGGCTCATTCCTTCTATTTCTTCAGCGTCTCTTACAGTAGTTAATCTTTGCCAATTTTTAATTTCAATATTTTGTGATTTTTAAGATTTTTTTAAAAAGTGTTTATTAGTCAAGAATACTTGCTCTTTTGTGAGTTTGCCTGGCCTTCTCATGCTCTTTGCACATTTTTCTGGAATGTTTAACTTTCTTTTAATGACTGCTTATTTTGTTGAATATGATTGAACAATTTTTCTTACTTCTATTAAGAGTAAAATTATTCAGGTATTATTAACCAAATTTATTATTTTTTTCTTTTACCTTTTTGCTGAATACATACACACACACACAGTCTAAGATCAACAGTTACTTTTGGATTTTAGTTTTTGGTTTTTCCTAGTATGTTTGCGTTCTACATTTTGCATTTAACATTTGTAGCTTCTTTTTATTTATTTACTTGTTTTTTACCTTGAACTCAGAGCCTTTCTGTCTCAGCCATTTTGGTATGGGATTTCAAGTGTGCACGGCCCTGCCTAACAGAGTAGCCTGTTTTAGTGTAGGAAATGAGACAGCGTCTCTTGATTTTCTTTCCTTCAATAGGTCAAAAGGTGTGTGAGGTCGTAGTTTTTACCTGCTTGTTTTTAAACATTTGCTGTTGTGCCGCCATACCTTGCTAAAACAAAAACAAAACTCTGTTTTTATCTTTTCTTTCTTTTTTTTCTTGAACTCACTTTGTAGCTAGGATGACTTTGGACTTTGGTCCCCTGCCTCCACCCTCCAAATGCTGGTGTGACAGGTGTGCACCCCACATCCA